AATCTTCTAGAACAACACATTATATGCTTACACATTTTACTGTTTCATATTTTTAACAATCCAACCTTTATCATTCTCTTGAACATAAACTTTGATTTGGCATTTTTAACATCATCTTCCAGATTATTCCACAATCTGACTCGTTGGATTGAGCTGCAGCRTTCTTTAAACAGGTTTCATGAACATCTCTGTGAGATTATAACAGCTCTCTGTCTTTTTAATAACTTTATTTAAATGGTTAAAGGTCGTGTTTTCTCTGAGCTTTATACAAAACTGACTAAACATTATAATCAACCAAATCATAAAATTTGAATAATTTCAGTTTACAGAATAATATATTAGATGATAATAGTAATGTTTTTGAGTGAAAACTCTTATAACTCTTTTCTGTAAAAAAACAGGATGTGTAATAGTCTTACATGTTTTACCACATTTCTCAACACAATAAACCAAGTGTGGAACAAATAATGTGTTATATAACAAATACAGAGCTTTGTCATGAAACAAGTGCCTGACTTTGTAAAGCAATGCAACAGATTTATGTAGTTTTATTATAAAATCATTAAAATGAGGTTTCTGTTAATAATATCACCCAAACCTCACTGACTGTTCATCTCTGAACCTTTAACTCTGACTGGAACATTAACGGTTCTTTGTCTCTTATAAAGAGTTAAACACAAATTACCCCCCCCCCCCCACACACACACACACACCTACTATGTCTCTGTCCTTGTGGGGACTTTCCATTGACTTCCATTACTTTTATGGAAATGTTACATCCTAACCCTGACCACTGACCCTAAAGCTAACCTCACAGGTACCTTCCTGACCCTAAAACTGACCTGAACCTTGGTCYTAAACTKAGGAGCTGCAGCTGTTCCTGAGTGGACGTGTGGTGAGGAAGACTCCCTCAGTGATGAAGATGTGCTCCTGCCCGAGTCTAATTGGTTGGTTTTATTTCTTCATGGCTGATAAAACCAGATTAGCACCTGCAGGCCGAGCGCATTAAACGAACGTCTTACCGGCGAAGCGTGTGGGCGGGACCTGTGTGGGTTGCAGGGCAGCGTCTCATTGGCTGCCGGCAGGTTGCTTTCTGAGTGATGGCTCTTTAATGAGAGCCTCTGGGAATCGGACTACAGACCTGTGTCTGAAACGGCTGCAGGCAGAAAGGCCTTCATCTCCCATCATGCCCCTGAAACACCTCGACCAGCTGAGGCTCATGCTGCATTCAGGTCACCTGGGAAAGGTGGTAAAAGCCAGTTTCCTCCCAGCTGAAGCCCCTTCAGCTCATCGCACTAAAAATACAGCCGGAGCAGGAACATGACTCACTTTCTGATGAGAATTCAGTTTTACACAAAAAAAAAAAACATTTCTCGACAAACTGTAGGAAACACAAATCAATGTATGTTTGAAAATAAACTTATTTAAAGTTTTAAGAGTTTCTGACAGCTGCTCTGAGGGTCGTCAGTTTTAAACAGTAGAAATAAACCAGTGGTCCTTTTACCTTTTTTATTTATTACAAATATATTCATTTCATTAAAAAC